CCTCCCCCCCCTTCCATTCCTCAACACGTGTTGTCTGTTTATTTTTCTCATGCCTCGGAAAAAAAGATCTTCATGTTCTGTCCCTGCATCCCACAGTGTGTTTGCCCATCTCTTTCCTGGCTGCTAGTTAAGCATTTTAATTTCGTGCCTTCATATATCTTGATATATAACTCAACACAGGAACCTTCTTAGTTTTACCTTCAAATATGAGATCTGACAGCTGTGTCTGCACACCTGTGCAGTATGCATAGCTAATCTGCAAAAACATTTAATCTGTCCTTTCCACATTTAATTCCCTGCTATGTTCCTGAAACTATTAACTTTTGATACTGATGGCTTGCGCATATCCCCCAATATAATCATAGTTGGATAGTGGTATCTCCTTCATGAGCATGCCTTTATCGGTATTGGTCAAGCACAAAGTTTACACATGGTATGACGCCATCTTTATTTTACATCACTGCTGAGCACTGCCTCTGAGGTAAGCCAGGCAGTAACCTTTCATAAAGTCTGCTGCGAACGCTCCTTAAGTTGCAGATGATGCATCTTTAAAAGCCCATGGCATGGCACGGCAGTAAAGTGAGAAACTACGGATGGAAATCCATTGCAAAGGAATTAATTTCTTCCAAAGCAGCTAAGCTAGGGGGAGGGGCTGCCAGTCAGTTTTCTGTACTTAAGAGAAAAACCCTACTGTAGCCTCACTGGCCTGTCTGTCTGACATTATTGTTCTCTTCTGCCAACCCTTAATGGCTTATTTTCTGGGATTGGCTGTCGCTGCAGTGTCTGTGCTGCTGGCCTCCCTTCCCCCTCTCCCTGTCCTGACTGTTTGTCCCAGCCCCCCACCCCCCACCCCCCAGCGCAGCTCTGCTGGGGCCAGTTTTCACAGAAAAGGCCAGAAACTAGAAGGGCTTATTAGACATCCTGGCTGCCAGATAAGCAAAGCCTCTTAAATCTTAGCCCCGAAAAATGGCCAACTGTAGTTTTTAGCTGCACCGATCTTTTTGAAAGTCGTGTTTTTTCATACTAGAAAGATTTCAGACACTTCTCTTGAAATTCAGTTCAAATGCACCAGCTTGCCTGAAGCGTCATTCAGAACTAAAAAGAAAAGGCACACACTTTCTTTATTTTCATGGTAATGTTACAGAGTTTGCATTCCAGCTGCTGTTATACAGAGTTTGTCTTAAAACAATCACTTCCCTGTATCTGAATTCAATGGGCTGTTATGCAGAATAGCCATCGCATTTCAGATACTGCTGTCCCAGTCTGGTCTGCGGTCTGTGCATGCCATTCCTGAAGGATGTATAACAGAGTGGTACAGTACTGCATTTAACAAAAGCAGGTTCATCCTGCGGTGGTATTTCGGGACGGATGATGTTGGTAACTTACCATCACATTTCACCCCAGCATTGACTAATAAACCAGCTGTTGTCTGTACTATTTTCATTTCCTCTCGCCTGTTACTTAAGAAGTTCTGTTAGAATGATTGCTGTAACCGTACTGCTAAAACCACTTCACTTTCAAAGATAAACAACACCACACTGAACCTCCAATAAGATCCGTCCCTTCGTCTCGGCCTCAACTGATCATCCAGCTGAGCCGGAAGGTTAATGGCTTCTGAAATTAAAATGGTCCTTCTTTTCGATAGCAAGCTAAAGCTAGCCGCAGTACTAATTGGAGTTCATAGATTTTTTTTTAATCATTGGTGCGAGGACCTGCATTGATCTCTCTTTCCTGACCCAAAAGGGCAGACAGGGTATCGGTCTTAAATTCAACACACAGTCATCGTCATGTTTTGAGTCCATCCTGGAGTCCTTGTTTTTCTTTCTATTCCTGTGCCTGACAGAATGCTGTGCTAGTTGAAATCCCTGTTTTCTGCTTGTAAAACCCGCTTCAGAAATCCTGCATCCCTAGTGAGAATGTGCAACCATGTCACTCGATCATTGAGAGTCCTACAGAAGAATGTAGCATGAAAAACGATTTAGAGTGCGACCAGCAGAAAGGCAATTCTGGCAAGGAGAGTGGGCTGGTTTTCTTCTTAAGACCCTTCTTTAAAAAAAAGGATCCAGGGCCGTGAATGATACCTGATGTCATATGTCATATGGCAAGGGTTTGAAATGATCTTGGAAATTTGGTGTCTTTGAACCAAGGAGGCGAACTCAGAATCCGAAGCCTGATCTCTTACAATAGTGCGTGTGGAGGGCAGGACTCATAAGAACTTTTACCAACAGGAAGTTGACTGTTTCACCAGTAATTCTGCCTAGTTTTTGACCAATGCTGTTCTTCCTGCTTTCTCCTCAAATGTCATTCTCCTGGTGGGGAGGGGGGGCTCTTATCATTTGACTCCAGGTTTTCTTTGAAAGCACAGACTTGGTCCCCCTGATCTGCATGTCTCTCCTCCTTCCTGAAGAAAGAGCTCTGATCCGTTGCGGGCATCTTGCTCCCAGACAGTAGAAGTGGGGGGATGAGGGGGGGGTGGGTGGTTGTGGGGGGAAGCTGGTAGAGGTTTTCCGAGAAAGAAGCGGAGTGAACCTCACACAGCTTCCTTCAGGGGCAGCCCCGTGGTGAGCAAGGGACCCAAACACAGCTGGATCCCCATGGCCCGGCTCCCCATGTGTCTTCCATTAAGACCACATTTACAGAGGCTTGAGGGGCTCTCAGCCCGCATGATCCTGGGCTAAAGCGTCTGGTTGATTTATGACTTCATTTTTAACGACCTATTAAAAAGGTTGGTGCTGCAGTCTCTTTCTGGAATTCCTAGTGCTAGATACCTTCTGAAATCCATTCCAGGTGGCACAGTCAGCTGCGGTTTTTGCATTTGTATCAAATGAGGATGTGTCTTCTTGCTGAAATGTACCAAGGCCCCTCAAACACTTAACTTCAAGTTATGTCTGTGGTGAAATATCTTTCAATTTATTGAAAATGAAATGGATTGTATGCGTCTTGTTTAGGAGCAGGACAGTTTATATAGTTTTTATAGTGCAGGGAGATGTACCTCTTGCAGAACACTGCTCTAGCTATCACAGCTAACTTTCGTAAATTAGAAGATCATGTCATTTATTATACAGAGCCGGAGGATTTTGTGCAGATAGATTGCTGTGACGCAGCTCAACTGTGTTTGTTAATGCTGCTGTCCTCAGAATGTTCACATCGCCATTCATCTTCATGTAGCTTCAAATTGCCTCTTCACTGCACTGCTATAAAAAAAAAAAAAAACACACACTAACAAAGTAGTCCCACTGAAGGGGGAATCTCCAGGTGACTGAGATATAAACACTCATGCATACAGTGCTACTTATAATAATATTGATACATGAGAAATTCATGATATTTCAGTGGTCTGCTGCATCTTCCAAGATACAAGATACATTCAAGAAATGGGACATTTCTATAGAAACCTTTAGGCTATTTTAGTAAGGCATAATACAATTAAGCCACAGTTTATGCGATAGAAATACAGAGCCTTTGATAAGTTGCTTAAAAGGATTGTCAGGTCCAGTCAATCCTCTTTTAACCTGACAGCACTCCGGAGTTGTTCCTGCATTGCTTTTCTGAGCTTCATTACTCATTCAGTGAGGTGGGACTGAATATTAACCCAGTTACAGCCACCTCTGACACATGGCGGCCTGCATGAATAACAGATGCAATGCTATTCAGATATTCGGTGCTGTACTGGAGCTAACCTGTATTTCCCACGCTGCATGCCACTACAGCAGTGTTAATACATCTTTACTGGACAGTATTAAAGTAGCTAATTATATGCCCCAAGCACTATGGTAATTTCTGGCTACTAATTGAAATGCATTCAAATAAAGTCTTTCCATTTAATTTCTGGCAAAAGAAGCTTGAACTCACAAAATATTATCCTTCCCCTTTTAAAAGTGAACCATATAGGGAACTACGTTTGTTGTGCTAAATGATTTCAAACACACTGGAACGTTTAATGAATGCAGCTTTATTCAGTTATTCCTCTTCGAATCCTAAACCATCATCGCCACAGTGCTCCGTTCATTGTCAGATGTTTGCCCAGCTTGGAAAATATATGCTGACCGAAAATGAAACATAAAACAAAAAAAGCCAGAGAATGAAATCCAGAAATCAAGTCAGGATGACTGCCCAGCTTGTGAGAAGGAGGGGAAACTCTGCAGCTGAGCCTTTTCAGCGAGGAAGATGAGTCATTGCACAGGTTTAGGAACTGGGTGGATATGCTTTTGTTCAACAACAGAATGTGGCCAAATTTAAAAATGGGAGAAATTCTCAACCTGGAGGGTATTCCACTGTAAGTTGTAACTTGAAATACAAGAATATGATACTTATTCCTCCTTGGCTGGCATGATAAACGTCAGCAATCCTTGTTGTAGAAATGTGATTCCATCTTTTGAAGGCTGGGCGGTTTGTTAGTCTAAAGGAAGACTTGCACCACTCCAGGCCTGGCTTGCTCAGAAAACAGAAATTACAGTTGCAGCTGCCTTTTCTAATAATTGCTTCATTTGTGTTTTGTAACTTCCCTAATTTAAAAATGAATTATATGTGACAAACACTGAACAAAGTACAAATTTCTATATTTAACAGGAAATGTTAGAAACTTAAGGATAATAATTACATAGACCTCCTCCCTGTCAGATATCTGGCAATAGAATTAAATAGATAAAAAGTATTTTAGGGAAGTGTTTACGAGTAGTTCACACTTACTAGGACTATTCTTGTCTAATGAGAAAGAATGAGCTTTCTTCCAAGTCCTAATACATACTATTGCTTGTTCTCAGAGCAGTTCCAAATAAAACAAATGGAGTAGATTTCTTTTTCTAGGGCCAGCTCAACTTTCTTTCAGTTTTTTTTGCCAATCTAGAAGCAGAAATATAACTGTATTTGCTATTGACATTTTTTTCCCCTCATTCTCATGTTCTCTTATTCTTTCGCCATTTGCTGAGCCTCTGCAAAAGTGAAGTTTGTAAAGAGTCCCAGTCCTGGCTCTGACAGCCTGCTGTTTTGTCTCCCCTCAGACGCGCTGCAAGGGCTGGAGCCGAGAGTCCAGATGGCAGACCAAGAGCCAGACCAGCTGCCTGAGCACCAGAACGAGCTGGCCCCGGAGGGACCCATCAGGGGCCGCGAGCTCTTCGGATATGTGGGCATCGAGGCCGTTCTGGACCAGATGAGACGCAAGGCCATGAAGACTGGCTTTGAGTTCAACATCATGGTCGTGGGTAAGTAGCGTGGAAGGCTTGGGCTTTCTCCACGGTCCTTATAAATAAGTCTGTCTGGCCCACTTCAGAGTCTAAAACTTTATATCAACTGGTGGACTGTAATGCGCCAAGTCCACAATTAGAAATACGCCCCCTCTCCACGTGTGCAGACTGTGTCTATACAGCAGCCATGTCATACCCATCTGTCTGAAACTGTTATTAAATACAGCTCAGTGCAACTGTGCCAATTCATGCCAATCAACAAAAGCATTCTGCTAACCTGTTTGTCACTAGTGGTACGGAAAAATTCACTTAAACATTTTTTGAGAGCCTTGTAAAGCTAGGGTAGTACCGAGCAGACTGTTTTGAGACTCTTTGCCGTTTTTGGACGTTTAGTAACTGCAGTCAAGGGCGTGTGTCTTATTAATCAGAAGTGTGACGTGAGAGTCGCCTGTGCAAGATTTGTGGACGGCGGCTGACTGCAAGGCTGTATTTAAAATGGCAGGTGGAAAGCTGTGGGCTCACGTGGAGGAAATGGCAACAGGTGAACAGGAAGGATGGAGGGAGTGGAGAGCACTTCACTCTGAGCCTCCTGCTCACAGGCTGAGTCTGAGGGGGGAGCCAGTCTGGCCTCACTCAGGCGGAACTCCGAGCTCTTCTGAAAATCCAGCAGCGTCGTCAGGGGTTTATAAGATATTCCTTGGTGTTAACACCTCTCCTTTAATCGTCAACTCCTGTGTGGATCGGAAGCTTGTAGTGAAGGGAAGGGTGGCCCATTAATGACTTTAATTGGTATGGATTCAACAGGCTGTATATTTTAAACAAACCGCTCAGTGTCTCCCTCCTTCACTCTGAGGAGGTTTTATGTAACTATAGAAACTGCTCCACGGGAGCTGGAGAGATGAAGCACAGCTTTTGACAAAGTTGTAGACGTCAGTTCTTACAAATTACTGTGCTGGAGATGTTTTATATCTGTTATTGTATTTGATCTGAGTGTACAATGCATACACCCTTGTATGTATCTGAGGGATAGCACAACCAGCCTGACTTTATTTAAGACACCAGCGTTGTAGCCCATATATCAAAATAATTAGAAGCTTAAATTCCTATAGGAAACACTAGGAGTTTAAGTGTCTTTTGAGTATAAGGCTCATACTGTATCTTCCTCAACATGTGCAGCTAATCATAAAGGTGAATTCAGTGAGATAACAGAGGCAGAACTGGGGTTTTCAGGTGTCTCTGGTGGTTATTACAGAGCTAGATAGAGAATAAGCAGAAAGGTTATCAAACATGGTTGGATTTAGAGTTGTAAGGTTGAGTTAGAATTATTGGAGAATCTCTTGAGCTTTAGAGCCCAAGAGCAAGCGACTGTTGCGCCCTGTGGAAGTAGATCAGAGGTTAAACTGTTAGACTGAAGTGCAGAATGTCTCGGGTTTCTGGTAGATGTTTGCCAGTAAATAACCTTTAGTGCAGAATGTTGCACACCTTTAGCACATAGCAGGCCTGCGCTGCAGCTTTGAAATCTTGTGTAGCCCACTGGGTCATGTGAAGGAACATCATGGTGAAGTATATAGCTTATCTCTTTTTCTAATGCTATGAAGGTGTTTTGTTAAAAATGTGGTCATTTAAAAAGTACTTCTTCAGTTTTGCGAAAGTGTGGACATTTCAACAGATCGTTTTTCACAGAAGAGGTTTCGTGTTTAGGTGCCAGAACTGCTGAGCTCTAAAGGATTCTGGTAAAGAAAGAACAGCATGTTAACTAAGCAGGAAAGATAAGACACAGGGTCATTCTTGGTGAGCTTTGCTCATGTTCTCTAGTCAGGTGATTTTGGGAAAATATTGGACTGGAAGGCATATAAACAAAAGGATGTTGCCTAAGGTGGCTGTGGGCTTCATTTGGAAGCCCTGTTGTAAGGATAGGAGGCTTTTCCTTCAGTGGATTTATCCCAGTCTGGGTGTTATGACTGTCTGAGCCGGGAAGACCAAATAACTTTCACCAAGCCACCTGCCTGTCTGACAATCCCCACCCCCTCCAGCCTGACCAATTAGAGTGCATGCAGTCATGCTTGCATTGTTTCTTCACAACACACCATCTGCTCTCAACGTGAAAGACAGAGGTGGGGGGTCCTGTGTACAATTATTGTTTGTAAGCATGTACACTTCTGGTCTACTGTAATTGCGTGCCAGTTTGAACCTCTTGTTCAAGACGACAGAAACACTTTCAGTCACTGCAAATGTTTGGGAGTTCGTTTATGGGTCGTTCAAATTGGGCAAGTTTCTTCAATTGAAGGAAAAGAGTACCAGAGGTTGATCTGGTGGTTTTATGTAAGCCCTATTTGGCAAAAGCTAATGTAGCCGTTTGCTGCCAGGCAGTCTGTGTTCCTAACTGTGCCAACTATATCATGTTAGTTTCTTGGATGTCATGCAGTCCAAGTAGGCCAAGCAGCTTGCAACAGAATTAGCATGGCGGGTGTCATTACAGTAAAGAATGCAAAATATGGAGCCTGGTAGGATTCAGCCACATCTTGTCTGCCTTTATTTGAATATTGACTTTAAATGTCTGCTTTTTAAGTCTGTGAAATGTTTATGAACAAATATATATCAACTAGTTACTCCATGTAGGCTGATCTAAAATATTATTTCTGTAATCCGTTCAACCTTATAGATTAATTTAAAAAAAAAATGTCCTACCAATCCAGAGGGTGAGCTGCAGAGAGAGCCAGCTGTCTCTGTGCATTTCAACAGCTGCTATTCTCACTGGCTTGATGGACAGCATGGAACTCCAGCCCTGATGCGATTATGCCATTAATAGTCTTCCCTTTCCTGTCCAAAGCATGTGTCGGCTATGATAAATATTATTTAGTATGTTTTGAAGTCTGGCTTTGGGGTTGTTAGCATTTGATGATGCTGTAGTTTGTCAAAAAATAGCTGGCCCATGCCACATACTGTAGAGCAGTCGTGTTGAAAGCCAAAAAGACATTGCCATTAGTGGCCTAGGACAATCCAGAGGGTACAGATTTAATTAAAAGGCAGTTCAAATAAGGATAAGGGCAGCCAACCGCCAGCATGTTGCAAATTATTCTGAGTGATTTACACCCATTAAAACAAGCAGTAAGAAACTACCAAACATTTAAAAACTGACCGTTGTTTAATTCTATAACTGACAGTGCTTGATTCGTGCTCTTCAGAAACATACGGAACTCATCCAGGGTGAGGCTACAGAGTTGGTTTGCACTGTTCTGTGGCTCAAATAAAGTTGTTGTTTTTCAAATCAAGTTTTAAACTGAAATGTTAGAGCTTTAGAATAACAAGGCTGCTGCTCATAGACTGCCGTTGCAAAGATAAAGTGTGCGCGTGGCTGTGTAGCTCAAAGGTCTGTTTCGATAGCCTGTCTAATTTCTCACTTCCTGTGAACCGGAGCGGCACAGGCGCAGGCAGTTTCTAGGAGCCGTGATCGAAGGGCACCCTGGAGCCGTTTGTGAGTCATGGCTCTGGAGACCAGATGAACTCTTCTCTGCACAGCAGGGGTGCGCAGAGACGGAGGCTGATACCAGGGCTTTGAAAACACAAGCAGCCGGCTCGGCAACAGTCAGTAAAGCTACGAAATGGAAAACCGGAGGGCTGCAAAGTTTGCAGTAACCGAGTGAGAGCTGATCTTTCTGTCATGACCTCAACCGGTTGCAGAAACGCTCTAGCATATGGTTTTGAATTAAGGGGGAAAAGATATACATTTTCTAAAGAGCGTGAAGATAAGTAGTCAAAGCTTTCATGATGATGCCTTTTACCGATGATCAATTGCATTCTGTTCTAGAGGGTCAGAAAGTGTCTGGCACCGTTAGACACTGGCTATTGTTGGGAGACCAGATGAATTGATTTATTGGCCTTCAACCGGAAAGAGAGCAGAAGCCTCTAGTAAATGAAATGGGTTTTTGATTTCTTGTCTTCTGCAGCGCCATTGTCCTGTATCCCACAGTGGCAGAATGGCTCATCATTTTGCCCTCTGCATCCTGCAGTGCCACTTACACGAGCAATAGCAGACTTAATCCGTCCCTGAGAAATGTGGAAAAGCAGAGCCTGTTCTGCTGCCTGCTGCAATTCACAGTGTCACAGCCTACCTCTTGGGTCTGATTATTCTTCCTTTCTTCTGAGCATACTTACAAACCTGTCTCTGAATACGTATTTCCAAACGAATTGGCTTTGCAGTGTTTACAGCCGCAGTGTGTAACAGAAACTCCTGTGCTTTGGCACATCCGTTGTATTTTAAACAGGCCTGTGCTCGTCAGTTTTGTTTCAGATTTTTCCAGCCGTGCAAAAAAATGAACCTCCTGAGCTGCCTTGTCGTAAGTAATGTGAATTTGAAAAAAAAAAAAGAAAAAATCTCCCTCTGGTTTTTACAACCGGTCCAAAGAAAGGGAGAGGCAGATTTCTAAAAGCTTACTTACCATTCAGTTAATTGCAGGAGGCAGCAGTTGTAATGAGCAGAGTTGTATTTTAAGACAGCTGTTTCCTTTTCAGCTCTGTATCCTACAAAAGCCTTAGGTCTTTATGTATTTGTTTAGTAGATGGGAGTCATCACTGTAACTGCTCAGAACTTAGTGTCTTTCGATTTGATTCACCTCTCCAATCTGTATGAATCCGACTCTGTGACTCAAAGAGTTTTATCTAGATCCATATACACTTCAGAACCCCCCTGTGGGGCCCCTTTGCATGATTGCAAAGGATTACAGTATTTTGGCAACAAAAGGTATATCATGTATGTTTTCCAGGCTGCGGGTGCATCTGCTTCTGATTAAACAAAGCACAAAGTGAAGAGAATATTATTGTGGATCGTTAGCGAAATGCTTAGGCTTAATCTGAGTGTGAGATACTGTATGTATCATAAGCAAGAACGCTGCTGTAAAATCTTTAAGTGCATGTAATTGGCCGTTGTCCTTTGATATAGGCTCTGTTTTTTCTAGTTTCATATCACAATTGCGAAACTCTGTCTTGAGTGTGATTGATTATCTTTATTGCTCAAGTAC